CACGCTGGGCAGACCCGTCCATGCCGCCCTCCATGGCTGCCACGCTGGGCAGACCCGTCCATGCCGCCCTCCATGGCTGCCACGCTGGGCAGACCTGTCCATAGCGCCCTCCATGGCTGCCACGCTATAGAGACCTATTCACACTGCCCTCCACCAGTTCCCACACTGGGGAGACCCATCCATGCCGCCCTGCACAGCTCCCACGCTGGGGAGACCTGTCCACAGTGCCCTCCATGGCTGCCACACTGGGGAGACGCGTCCATGCCGCCCTCCATGGCTGCCACACTGGGCAGACCCGTCCATGCCGCCCTGCACAGCTCCCGTACTGGGGAGACCCGTCCACAGTGCCCTCCGTGGCTCCCACCCTGGGGAGGTGTGTCCACACCGTCATCCTGGTCGCGTCCCACCCCCACTCACCCTTGGTGCGACGGGCTCGGTAGATGGGTGTCTGTGCACAGAGGTGCAGCACTGCAGCCCCCACTTGGGTGGGGTCCACCTCGTGCCTCCCCAGCACGGCCAGCAGCTCTTGGGTGTGGCTGGCATCCTGGCTGGGGCCTCGGGCCCCTGGGGCCTGTGGAGGGTGGGATGAGTTGCTTCCAGCCGCCCCTGGGCACCGTGCCCATCACAGGTCCAGCCCTGGGCTCCCGTCGCAGCCTCGGCCAAGGGAATATACCACCTCTGTTCCCCTGAAACCAGGGCCCTGGCGGCCCCATAGCTGCGCGGCACACGAGACCCTTTGCCTGGCGCCCTCTGGCCCCCACAGGGCTGCTCACCCTCGAGGTGTTCACCAGCTCTTGCAGGGTCTCCCGCTCCCGGGGCTCCATGGGGCGCAGGAAGCAGGCCTGGTGCCCTGCGGGCCGGTAACAGACGCAGTCCTGGGGAGGCGGGCTGGTGAACGCCGCCGCCCTGAAGCCGTGCCACCCCGGCCCCACCCCAGCCCCTGGCCCACTCACACTCTGCCCGTCGAATAACACCACCCAGCTGCTGTTGCTCTGGAAGGGGGTCACGGTGACGGTGGCCGTGTTCTGGGCCACATCCACCAGGGTGGTCTGGTTGGCCCGGGGGCTTGGGACGGTCAGGCGGAGCAGCTGTGGCAGTGGCCGAGGGGTCCGAGCTGAGCCTGTGGCCCTCACTCTGGCCCAGGATTTCTCTCATCACCGAGCCCACCCCCACCCCGTTCCCAACAGCCTCCTGGGATATGCCCGTCCTCGGCCCGCTCCCGCCATCCTGCCTCTGCCCAGGGGTCTCACCTGGGGAGGGCCGTGAGTGAAGCCAAGAAGCCCTCCGGCCACGGCCCCAGCCCCCACTAGCAGCAGCAGCAGCAGCAGCAGGCCTGGAGCTCGGTAGCCCCGGGGGCAGGCCTCCTTCACCTGGGGGCACATGGGGTCACACTGGAGCAGCCGGGAGTTGGCCTTGCTTGGGGGACAAGTGGGAGCGGGCCTGCTTCTGCCCTGCGCAGGCCTCCTGAGGGTCCCAGTCCCAGGAGAAGGCACTGGGGTAGGGGCACTCACCCCGACAGGTCCAGGGCTCTCCACACGGCAGTTCCCCTGGTCCATGCCGCAACCCCTGCCACCGACAATGAGCTGATTGTCCAAGTCCCCTCGAGGAGTCAGCCAGGGAAACCCCAGGGCTCCTGTGATGAGCCAGAGAGCTGTCTCCCTCCCCTCTGACCTCACTGCTCCTGCCCAGCTCAGCAACCTGATACCCAAACCCAGGCCAGGGCAGCCCCCTCCTCCAGCTGGGGGTGGGGCGAGAGCTTGTGGCCACGCCTGGCTCTCTGACACCTGGCGCGTGGAGGGAGGGCGGTTGGGAGCATGCCTTCTGGGAAGGTCACGGTGGACTCTGGTTGGGTACAACCAGCACTTCCCACAGCGCTCTTTGGTCTCTCGGGTTACCTGCTGACTCCAGCATGGGGCCTGGAACCCCAGGAGCCACCAATAAATGCCGGTGTTGTCCAGGACCCAGGGCCGCTGGGGGACTGCCCCTGCCTCCCCACACGTGCCCCAGCTGCTTCCTGGCCCCCCAACCCATGAACACAAGGGAGGGTGCTGGGCACTAGCCTTACCAGCCAGCATTGCAGCCAGCCTTCGGGTTCTGCCCGGCTGGCGCTCCGGCTGCCCTGGCTGTGTCGGCCACCGTGGCCAGTGTCCTCGCGTGTGGCCACAGGGGAACCTCTGCACTACGGACCTGCCCTGGGCCCCTCCCGTCCTCTCCTCCGGGCCCCATCCTCTCCTCCTCTCCACCCGCCTGTCCAGAACATGCCAGCAACCGGAACCAGAGCGCCCCACCTTCCCCTACTTGCTGGCCTCCCCGCACCCAGGCCGGAGCAACTGCACCTCTGCAGGACGGGCCCCAGTCCAGGCCAGAAGTGGCAGGCGAGGAAAGGACACCAAGAGCCGAGAGAAAGGGGCAAGAATTTAATCCACATTCAAGCTCACACAGTGCAGCAGGCCCGAGGGGCAGGAGGTGCGTCCGGAGCTCCCGGGCGCTGGCTGCCACAAATGCGTGCTCCCAGGCCGAGTGATGGCGCCTGGAGCTGCCCTCACAGGCGTGGCCTTCCTCCCAATACCACGGAGCAGGGCAGCTGGCTGACCGGCCTATGACACAGTCCACACCCCAGACCTTAGGGGGGCTGGGGATTCGAACACTCCCTTTATTGCTGTGAGAACTGCCCGAGGGAAGGAGGGAGGTGGCCCTGGGGCCTAGGGGTGGGTGCTGTGCAGGGCAAGGGGCCCAAGGAAGGTGCCAACGAGGACAGCTTCCCAGACTGCTTGGCCACTCCCTAAAGGTCAGCAGACCCAGGAAGCCGCTCAGGCCAGGGCCCCCTGCCAACAAGAGCAGCCTAGCTGGGGGACCTGGCCTATCCTCCCGCTGGTGGGCCAAAAGAGGTGGCCTTACGGGCCACAGGCACCTCATCCCACCCCACCCACAGGCATCTGAGAACAGCAAGAGGGCAGAAGCTTGCTGAAAGGACTTCCTGTTCTTGGGGACACCCTTGCCCCACCCAGAGGGTGCTGTGTTCCGTGGCCAGCACATGCCATTAGCTGTGAGTGCTGAAGGCCTGTCCGCTGGGACTCCCTGAGAGAGGGCAGTGGGCACCAACAGCACTTTGGGTCCCATTCCATCCATGACAACACTGTCCAAGAGTCCTTTAAACATGGCCTCTGGTACCCCTGCTGCTCTGGGATCCCTGAACGGTGGCCTGGAGCCCTCGTGGCCGCTGGGCCCAGTGTGAGTCACCTGGATGTCAACGCCCATTTGAGACAGCCAAGGGGTCGGCAGGGCTGGGTTTACAGAACCAAGGACCATGCCGACTGCGGGCGAGCAGCGGCTGTCCTGCGTATCTGAAACGGAACAGACGCTTGGTTGTGACATTGAAGTGGTTTTCAACAGGGAAGGGTGGCAAGGGCAGCACCCTGCACCCCAAGGACCGGGAGACATCACAGGAAGTGCCCCTCCTCCACTCCCACCCTGCAGCTGAGGGGTCAGGGCGGAGACCACGGAGCGGGCCCCGGGTTTGGTTTGTACACAATGCTTGTGACACTCACAACCGTCCCTCCCCGAGGGCTCCATCCCTGAATGAGGTTTCGAACAAAATACATCACTCACCCCCAGGCCCACCTCAGTCCTACCAGCAGGCCTCCGAGTTGCCAGATGGGATCCTGGGCAGACGCTGACCCCAAGGCCCAGGACCCCACAATGCCCTCCAAACTTAAAAAGTGCATCTTAACATATAAGCATTTGTAAACAAAGTCACACCCCAAACATCCACTTACAAGATTAACAGCTAATACCGTTGCTAAACTTAAAAAGTACGTCCCTGAAGAGCCCGCTTGGACCAGTGGTCGTGGGGCCCCACCTAGGAATTTGGGTTAAATTGGCTTTTCATTTTTTTTTTTATTCTGGAGATTAAAGACAGGAGGTCTTTAACCTTGAAGGGCGGGCAACAGGTCGGCTATGCTGTCAACGTAAAAGTCAGGGACCATCTGCTTCTTGGTTATGCAGTCACTTTCCTGGTTGTTTTTCACGTCCTCCAGGGTGGAGACCCCAGTGAGAGTCAGGATGGTCGTGAGGCCGCAGGTGACGCCCAGGAGGATGTCCGTGTCCAGCCGGTCCCCCACCATGACGGTGCGCGCCGGGTTGATGCCGTACTCCTGGGACACGCAGTCGAAGATAAAGCGGCTGGGCTTGCCGATGATGTCCGCCTGGCGCTGGGCCGCCATCTCCACGGCGCGGACCAGGCAGCCGGTACCTGCGGGGCCGAGAAGGGGGAGAGGGAG